TTTTTTGTTTTTTTTTTTTTTTTTTTTTTTGGAAAGATTCGATTTACACCCTTTTTGTATGTTGCGTGGATGGTTTCATTGTGGATAGGCGTTTGGTGGATGGGTTCTTGGTGCATAAAGAAGTCATGGATTGAAGAGTTGCGTATGTTAGTTTCAACGGTGTTGTGGTCATAGACTGAAGAGATGTTGACATGGGAGCTGCAGCGAGGAGAGATAGGGACAGAGAAGCTGCAGAGAGGAGAGGTAGCAAGAGGAGAGGTGTTGTGGTCATGGAATGAAGAGACGTGGACAATGGAGCTGCGGAGAGGAGAAGTGTGGAATAGGAAAATAGTAGATGGGGTTGTCGGCTGTGTGGTCACTGGAGTTTTGGTTGGGGGAATGTGGATGTACAGTGTTATACACTGACCAAATACAATTCCTGAAGTCACAACGACTCTGACCACATATTCAATGACCAAAATCTGTAACGTCTCTGACCACAACTCTTTAAGGATATTGTCGGTGAGGTCAGTGATGATGGTCCAAGATCCGTAAAAATAGAGGTTCTTGTCAAATCAAAGGAAGTAATTGTAGAAAAATCTAAGGAAATTGAAAATAAAGTTAAAAATTTGGATGAAGCCAAGAGCAAAAAGAACAAGAAACCAAGATTTGAAGTAAGCATAAACCTCAACAAAGTAATTCTTGGTTAGAAGAAGAGAGAGATTGATGGGAATGGGAATTGAATACAGACCAAAAATGAAGTGAACGAAACTAGACGAGCAGAAAACCACCAGAGTTAATTTCTCTCTTCTCTACCTAAAAGGTTTTGTAATTGTGGTCCCAACTAACTATAACAATCCTTTCTTTCTCGTTTTATGAAGCAAAGGGTATTTTTTTGTCTGAACACTCTTAACATATTATTAGATTCGGGAATTGACAATCTCTAAAGTATAAATATAATTTTATCTATCCAAATTGTATAGGTTATTGGAGGTGTCACAATTGACAAGTTCCAATGACTAAACTTTTTTTCTGACTATCCAATGACTAAGTTTATATAAGATAAAAGATATTACATAATTATGAAAAATACTGATTAACAACTTTTTTCTGAAAATTGATTAAAATCCAAAACACTTTTATATGAGAAATTTGATAGAATAGACCTAAAAGTTTTTAATTATAGATAAAAATGACCAAAACATACTTAAATGTTTTATCAAAAAAAAAAATACACTTATACCATAGTGTTAAGTAATCTAAGACATTAGGGTTTAGAGTTAAGAGGTGAGATTTAAGATTTATAGTTTAATTTAGGGTTTAGAGTTTAGAGTTTAAAGTTTAGAGTTGAGGAATAAGGTTTTGGGGATAGGATTTCAAATTTTTTTAAAAAAATAATCAAAATAAAAAATACTGTTTTGATCATATTAGTTTTTGAATTATATTTTTGTGATAAAAATTTGAAAAAATATTATTTGAGATAATTGGCATTTTTATAACAGTAATTTAAATATTTATATAAATATTAGTTTGATGAGTTCTATAGTTTTTTTTTATTGTGAAAATGTAAGATATATTTTTAAATGTATTTTTTCTAAAAATGGTGGGCTCTATAAAGTGAGCTCCTTAGACCACCCGCAGTGGAGTTTTATCCAAAGTCTCTCAGCATTAAATCAGCATTAAAGTGATTATAAAATTAAAAATGGAAGAAATGGTGAAATAAAGAGAATAATAGTTCATTTCTGAAAGTACCATACAATAAATGCAAGAGACTCAATAATTAGGTGTCACCACATGAATGCTCTAATTTTCATTTTGCTTTAATTTTAATAAGATGGCAAAATTATATAAAAATTAAATCAGTGAGGTACCCTTTGGAAGAGACTGCATCACTAATGATGCTCTTTACTCCTCCAATGTTTCATGCCTTCTGTATGTTGTCACTTGTCAGGACTTGACTAGATCGGACTAATTGTGGGAAGTTAACCTTCCATTTTTTAATTTGTATGAGTTAACTTGGTGGATTTTTTCCATATTTGTCATAAAAATGCATGCGACAAAGTAACCAATTTTATATATGTTGACTGCGCAGATGAATT